TACTCAAAAGCATTTGGACCGAAGTTTCACCAGTAAAAACTTACTGCCAAAATTTTCAACGTACGTATATAGCATTGGCACATATTTATATTATAAACAAAGAACAAGGGTAGTTTTAAAATATCACCGAATTTTTGTTAAGACAAGAAAAAATGCTAGCTTCGGTTGTCAAAAGTAAAAAAGTTTTTCACAAAAGCACTTTATTCCGCTCGTTCAGAAAAGGACATGTGAAAAATTTCAGATCAATGTCTCGAAAACTGAGGTACTAATTTGTGTATATACAGACGGACAAAGAGACGGAGCTCAGTTCAGCTTTTCAACCTGATCTTTTATATTTATATTTTATGGGAACTCCATATACCATCGTAATAAAATTTACATTAAGCAGCCTTGAACATAAAATAAGCTAAGTCGGTCCATTCTTTCTTCTGGCTCCTATATGAATTCTAAAGAAGAATTTCGGTTCGTAAACTAAGTAAAATAGTGCTTAAAAGTAATTAAATCGATGCATATTTTTCCTAAAAAGATATTTATCAGACAATATTTATATGAGATGTATGTTTTATTAAATATGTCATTCAATACCAAAAATAACCGAAATCAGTTCCCACGTTTGGCTAGACCACATATAAGTTGCTTATAACGGTGTTTTCAATAAGACCACTACAAACATTTTTTTTTATTAAATTAATACATTATGTATTGAACGCGATTTCGGTTACGTGGCCATCACGTGCACGGTTGCAGAAGTCCAGACGCTGAACCCAATTTTCGACGGTTTTCAAGCATAAATCGGCCGATTCTGCTACAACTTCACTTTCCGAGTTCGTACGAAGTTCATCAATCGTCGCTTACTCTTTGGCATAGACTTGACGTAGCCTCACAGAAAATAGTTTAATGGTGTCAAATCTGGGCCATTTTGGTTTTCAATTAATCGATTGTGCCATTCGCTGTGTGGCTTGTGGCGCCGTTCTGTTGGAACCACATATTGTCCAAGTACATGTCATCCAATTCGGGTCAAAAATATTCGGTTATCATTGAGCGGTGGCGATTCCCATTCAAAGTCTTGATCATCACAGAAAAAGTACCGCCCAATGATGTCACCGGCCCATAAAGCGCACCAAACTGTAATTTTTTCGGGATGCAATGATAACTCATCGAGTTCGTGTGGATTTCTGTCTGGCCAGTAACGCATATTTTGCTGATTCACGAAGCCATTCAGCCATAAATGACCTCATCGCTGAAGAAGATTTTTCGATGAAAATCAGGATCATTTTCAAGTTATTGCTCAGCCCAGTTCACAAACATACGACGATTCTTTTGGTCAAGCGGCTTCAGTTCTTACATCAATTTGATCTTGTTGACAAAAATCTTTTCGGAAAATTCGGCACAACGACGTCGCAGAGATGCCCAACACTTGAGAACCGCGTATGAGAGACTGACTTAGGTTTTCAATAATATTCTCCACTCTGGGGCACTTCTATGTTTCACTAGCACGGGAAGATTTTGTACTGTATCTGTGGATTCAAATATTTCCATTGGACGCCCAATTGTTGATCTGACTCTATGGCGTCCATAAATGAACGTAGCATATTGTTGGATCGTATATCTTTCCATGGCATAATGGCAAAACTTACTAAAGAGAAAAGAGCGGGAAAAAATATGGCGTCGTTTGCTGTCCCTATCGGTCTACTTTTGTGGGGTCGTTTTGAAAAAACCCGTAGCGAACTCTATCCTGTATATATTCGGCAGTACGAAATTTATCTCAGTAAAATTGAAATCGTATATAAAAGTCAATCGATACTTCGTAAACAAATTGGATCACACTAGCCCTTAATAGTTAGCTGATTTCTAAGTTTGGTTTGATACGAAGTAGATGAAATCGGTCCATACTTTCCTATGGACTTTCATTCACCGATGGCTTAGTATCAATCATACTCACTTACAGTTTAAAGTTCGTATAACAAAAATGCACTAACTTATCAAGCAAACCTCGTTAAAATAGAGCCTACTGCTTTCCTACACTTTTTATATGTACTCGTATTGAAAAAGTACTTTTACTTTATTCAATTCGCTTCAAACTTTTTCCGAACTCATCAAATACAATTCCACTACACGAGCGCAACTGCATGGATGAGGATTTAAAATTTATGAATTTTATCACTTTCCGCCAAAGTATTGCAAGGCCAAATTCAGCAATTTTTCCGATATGATTATTGCTGGTATTAAAAAGCTAAAGAAAAACAAATAAAATGAAAAATGTATTTGCGCTTGGCTTAATTATTTTCATAACTCCCATATCGTCACCTGAAATTCAAAATAACGTATCATCAAAAAAATCGAAATTGGGTGTCTTATTGAATACGCTTCACTACTTCAAATTACATACATAATATTACATATGTTCAACATTTTCAGATTATGCGCTCAGATATAAACCAGTTTTAACCATTATTAAAATTTTTTTCACTCATGTTCCTTTTTATTTCGTGTTTCATTCATGTCACTGTAAATTTCCGAAAATGTTGCTACGTTATTTTGCATTTCAGGTGGCGATATATACTATATATGGTTAAGAGAGTGCGTGAAGTATACTTTCCAAAGTGCAGCCAGATAGACCTGATTCAATGGAGTGGATTGGAAATAAGCGATTAATAAAAGTTAAGAAATTTAGTCCTTCAGATAAGCGTTGTTATTGAATCTGTCAATTTTATTATTAATTTGTGCATTAAAGCACTAAACATATTCGATGATTTTCCTATTTTGAGACATTGAGTGACACTATAGTTTAAAGTTGTAGGAGTATAGATTAGGTTAGCTTAGATGGCTGATCAAAGATCCCACGTGAATTACTATATGCAGTTCTTTGTGAGGCCATAGAAAAGAGATACTCCTGTGTTCGAACTCTAAATTAGTAAAACTAATTTGGTGAGATGTCTGAAGGTATGCGCTTCCAAGTGTTTAAGTTTTGACCACCCAAAAGCCGGACAGTCAAGAAGGAAGTGTTGATGGTGTCTGGTACGATTCCCAAAAGGCTTTTACGACCGCGTAAGTACCGATGGTGGCCCAGACCTGGCAAGTTAGCCCAGCTATTTAGGAGTAGGACACAAGAGGATACGGGAGTACCGATCCGCTCACATTCTACCGATAGCGGTTCTACGGTACCTTTTATTGCTAGATCATCAGCTGTACTCCGTCATAGCTTGACATCCATACCAGTCTTATCACAAAGCCACAAGTGCTATCGATAGCGAGGTTAGGCACTCTTTGACCATTCCTGAACGCACTGTTAATGAGTTCAAGGCTAGTATTGCCGCTCTGCTATCTAGTCACTTCTCTGGAAGCCATTGCAGTAGTAAGGAAGTCAGAAACTGGAGATGATAGAGAGCTCCTGACAGTAAACCCCTCCATCAACCTTCCCCCACGCTTTAAACCATCCGTGGAGAAGCTCAAGAAGTGCCCCTAATACCCGTTTCTTCGAGAATGGTTATGTACAATTAATTTTCTTAAGAACCAATGAATTTTTCCGAACAAATTTCCTAAGGATGATTTATTTTTCAATGAGACGGCGGAATTTTATTGCGAAACCACATTAAAACTACTTGTATTATTGAAAAATATGAAGTTAGTACAGATTAAACAATCTCAAATTTTCAGTGAATTTTAATAATATTTGGGGTCTACAAGTTTTAAGAACATAATTCAGGGGTACAACGGGTGAAGTGTGGCCTTGTAGAAAGTCTATGAGCACAAATAAACATTGTAGTGGGAATAGGTTAATAGGAATCGAGCTCTTTGTCTTATATATCTGATCCAATACAATATTAAAGGCTTCACGACGAAGGCTGTATGCTAGTAATAGGCGGAATAAATTTCAGATATCAAAAGTTTGAAATGAAAGTAATAAATGGGATTGTACTCTTTTCCAAGTCCTTTCTAGTAACAATGAAATCCACTCTATAGAAGTTTACACCGCAACTTAAGGGTTACCGTGCGCTACCGGTATATACTTTGTCACATATATTCACAAAACACGGATAAATTCTAAGAACTTGCAGGACGCTATTTAGGTGATGTGATGCCAATCTCTATATATGGATGCAAGGGTCTTGAGCTTGCTACTACAGAAATTTTATTACAATTTCCGGGTGCTTTTTCGACTCAATGTAGTTCCATGTTGCAAAAACCGGGCAATACTCATGTTGGATAAAAGCTTCTAGTGCCTGAAGAATCCGGTGAGAATGCGATTAATACGCGGAATTTGTCTCTGGGGAAATTAATAATTTCTTTAAACCTCGCTAGGTTGTAGCCTTCCGTTGCTTGCTGGCAATTACTTTCTCTACCCATTCTTTCCTCCATGCGACTCCTTTATGTAGTGGGGCCAGAGTCAATGGAGCAATAGAACCATGATTAATGGTACCTAAATTGGATGGATTTTGATGTGGACGACCTTTAGTTCCAACAAGACGGCGCTACAGGCCATACAGCCAACGAACGAATCAATTTAGAGAAAGAAACTTTTGGTGAACGCATTATCTCACATCGTGGGCTTTAAGCGCAGCGAAGAACGTGTGATTTAATACCGCTAGATTATTTTTTTGGGGGTTTTGTGGGGATTTGTGAAGTCGCTTATCTGTTCAGATGCGACTGCGACGATGAACGCGAAGAGAATATTCGGCGCACTATTACTGACATACGACTTTGATTATGATCCTTTCAACAAATACCGAGAATTTATAATGTGCGGCTCCGACCTTAGATCTTTCTTATTTATGTCGCATAAATCATATTGCAAATAAAAATACTCATTACATTTCATTGAGATTGAAAGGCGCTCATATTCGGTAAATGAGGAAAGTAGGCATTTGTCAGTAGCGAACAGTTTTAAATGAGAGTTGCCACATGTCAAAGGCATTACAAGTGATTCCAACCCTTTTTTAAAATGCTCATTAAAATAAAATCCATAGTTTTTAACCGTTTTTCGATTTTTTTTCTTACAGCGATAAACAAAAATGGAATTAGTAAATAACGTACAAAGAAATATACCTACTTAAAGTTACATACATAAGGAATATAGAGCCCTATCATAAATAGTATAATACATAGATGGTAAATATTCCAAGTGTTTAAATGAGCAAATCCGTTCAAGCCATTGGCAGAATGAAATATTCATAAAGGCAAATCCAAAACGTGCGACTACGCAGGAATTACCCGCCAAGAAAACAAGCGTGAAAATACAAATACCGCATTGCTGTATGGGTGTATATGTGCATATGAGTAAGTGAGAGGCTGGGTAATGACGCCGAGTGCGTGACTGTCGACAGCAATCATCATATCTAGTAGAAAATCTGCACCACCGTCAATCACGCCAATGTCAACAGTTCGTCTTCAACAAGTGCAACACATCCATCATTATTACCAAAAGGAGCAACAAGAGACAGCACAGCAACACCGCAGCCCAGCAGACAACAGCGACGCAATCGCACAGAAATAAATTTAAATAATGCTTGTAACTAGCTTTCTAATGCATTCTACGCCGATTTAAGTGAGCTCACGTCACCAGCCCAACCACTTAACGCAATCCCTACCCGATAAGCACTCGAAACTTAGGAAGCTATTGCCAACATCGAAGTGGATGCGACACCATCGAACCACAGCGACACTCGTAAAATATTTGAACTACACATAGAGAAGGTATCCGCGAGGAGGGAGGCAGAAAAATGTTCGATACGAAATGGTTGCCTGCCGCCTGTGGCAGTTTGGCACCCGCTCTTATACCGCCCGCTCACATGTTGGTGTTGGCCTACTTTTGGGAAAATTACTCGCGCTACGTTGATAAGCACTTTTGTACATGCTCCTGCTGGGACACCATATTCAAAGGGCCCTACGAGTCGGGTGTTGCCTCATACAAGCATCTCTACTTCAATGTCACACAAAATTCATTCAAAATGTGGCTGCTCACTGTATTCGCTGTTATTGCGCTTTATGAATGCATTAAACAGTTGATTGCGTTGATATTGCAACAACGTTGTCGCTACTCGATGTTGTTGCTCTTCTCGCTGTCGATATTTTCACACTATTATGCCTGGTGGGCGTACATAAATTACTACAACGATGACTATTACCAGCAATGGAACCATCAGCTATTTTTTACGGTAAGTCCTCTACAGCTATGCATATGTATGCGGGCGTTTGTGTGTGTGTATAAGTATATTGCTGTAAGTAATAATAATCTCTGAAGGCAATGACTGAACCACTTTTAGCGCCGGCTCTCAAATGCTAAGTAAATATGTCATTGCAGGAGCTAAATGTGTCAATTTTCACTCGATTTAAAGAAATTTAATTCGAAACGCTGATGAAGAGCGTCAAATTTTAAGTGTTTAGCATATTAATTTGAATTTAATGTGTACTAACACCTCAAAGCCTTAGATAATAGTATACAACTTTACCTGCGGAGAAGAAAGATATTAAATTCGCAGCAACACTGGCTTAATGATAGCTTAAATGCAGTAGTTAAGGAATAGAAATAAATAAATGTTTTTACTGCGTCCTGAGTTCTATTGTGTTCTTCTAGCTTTCACACTAGCTCACGAACACTCAACACTCAGATGAATCTTTGGATATTAATACGCCATATTGAGGCAATGCCCTCCCGACTCGGATATATAGATCCAAGCTTGGATATATAGATCCAAACCTGCGTTGCCGTTCCCATGTTAAAAAGTCGATTGCGAGTCTTCCCTTATCGGTATAAAAAACCATTAATAACCGGATTTTGTCACCCACCAGGATACTGGGCTCCGATCCCGCAAATCTAGAACCATTGCAATGAGAACAAGTTATTTAGCCTAGCCGTTCCCCCGACACTTTTGTAACCCGACACGCAAATCAGGTCAACTCAGTTGCAGATTGACAAGCTGTTCAGCTGTTTTCCCCTCACCAATACTATTTAGATTTTATATCGTAAGGTGATCAGTTTTTCGTAAGCCAAAACAACCAATTAATCGGGTTAAAAACGGAATAAGTTTATAAAAGATTAGCCTTTAACCTCCAGCCTTCTCTTCGCATATTCTCTATAAAAACTTCGGTCAACATCTTCTCGATTATACCACCTCAAACAATGCTGTAAACTAATGAAACTTATATTCAGATCTATCTGTATAATTTTAAGTGGTCACACTTATTACATTTCTTAAGGGTTGAGATAAAAATATACAGGGTGACAAGAAACCTATTGATGCTACCTAAGCCCTGATGGACTTACTACACATACATTTTTTGAAAAAGGTTTTGCAGATGACATCTTCAGTCATCATCATCACACCATGACTTAAAGACTGTCTATTTATTACAAGATAATATTTGATTCCATATATGAACAGAGGATAACAGAAGGAATTCACCCACATCGTTTCATTTATTTTTCGATTACCACTTTTATATAATATGTTGTTTTAAAATAAAATAATATTGTTCACCTTACGGTTGTTTGCGACGTTTAAAACTAATTGGGCTGGGCAAGACAAGGCGTGTTGAATTTCGAGTGACTGTCTGTCCTTCCGTCTGTCCGTGCAAGCGATAACTTGAGTAAAAATTAAGATACTATATATTGAAGAAACTTGGTCCTGGCATCATTGTCACCCCCACAAAATCCTGTTAATTAAAAGAATATAAAGCGCTATAACTAAGTTACAAATTAAGGCTTAGACGTAGTGCAGAAGTTTGTAGAGATGAGAGGCAACAGTAAGATGAAAATTTTCAAGAAGTGGGTGTAACCACGGTGTAATACATATCTTACAAGCGTTGAAAGATATACCAGCAAAACTACCAAAGACCAGGGCCAATACTATCAGTGCCTCCTCAGATGGTGTGAAAACTGTTGAAATTGGATAGTAACCATGCTCACATACCATATAACTGTTATGTTGAAAACTACTAAAGTGCGAGAACTTAATAAATAAAAATGGAATGGACGTGGCACAGCCCTCCCTCCAATACGTGAAACCAATATCTCGGGAATTACTAGTCTACTTTAAACCAAATTTAGTGCATGACCTTATTTTGAGACTCCTATTCTACAACGCAAAAATTACCAAATTTACAATTACAACTACTAACCCTATAACTTCTTCTTCTTCTTTACTGGCATAGACACCGCTACGCGGTTATAACTGAGTTAACAATAGCGCTCCATTTCTTCTTTTCACAATGTAGCGTAAATTGGATATTTCAAGCAAAGCCAGGTCTTTCCGGGCTTTCCAACGGAGTGGAGGTCTTCATCTGCTTCCTTGGCGGGTACTGAGCTGAAGTTTTTCATCCCTTCGGATGCCACTGCAGCATACAGCAGACGGGGATGTTGAGTGACTTGTAGAGTTTGATGTTTGTTGGTCAAGAGTGGACTCTACATCTTAATTTCCTACTCAGTTCGAAGTAACACCTGTTGGCAAGAGTTATTTTGCTTAGATTTCAAGGCTGGTATTGTTGTTGGTGTTGTTGCTGGTTCGAAGATAGACTAAATTATCCTTGACTTCAAAGTTATGACTGCAATTCACTACAATACCAATTTGCTTCGCTTCTTTGTCCAAGCAGGAGAAAACCGAACTACACTCTTTTAGAAGATTGCCCCTTCTGCATTCAGCTCTGCATTTCGAATTATTTTCTCCAGCTGTAGATTAAAGAAGTCGCACAATAGGGAGTCTCCTTGTCGTTTGATATAGAACGGTTCGGAGAAATCCTTTATGATCCTGACGGCGATTTTGGCGATATTGCTCAATGTCAGTTTACACAGTCGTATTAGTTTTCCGGGGATACCAAATTCAGACATCGTGGCAGCTCTTTTACGTGCTCTCAAAAGCAATTTTGAAATTGACGAAGAGATCTTATGAGAGCTGCCCCCGCCACAATGTCATAATCGTGTCAGATCTTTCAAACTTCGGGTGTACTTTATACCGATTGTATCGATATCTTAACAAAAGTAAACGTATAAAATTCGATATACTACAGCTTAATTACGAATATATGAGAAATTGACCACGAACGAATCCAACCACCATGTGCTAAGAGTGATCCATTTCGAGGTTGCCCTACTTTTTCTAATAATAAACACAGAAATCTTAAATTTAATGGGGAATGTTTATTATCATTCATTATCTCTTTCAATTGTTGGCCGCGGCTATGTCTTAGATGGGCCATCCGTTGAGTCCAATTTTCGATGACTCACAGAAAAATACTAACGGTGTGATATCACGCGATCTTGTTGGCCCAAAACGTCACCGAAGTGTTCTCTCAATAAGTGCATTGATTGATGCAGTATGTGGGAAGTAACGCCGTCTTATTGAAACCAAATGACGCCGAGATCACAAGTTTCAATTTCATTGACGGTTACGTTCTCACCGGCATCATTTTTGAAGAAATATGGACCGATAATTCCGCCGGCCTACAAAGAAACCGAATTCGATAAAATCCATTACTTTTGCAACATATTATTTTAATGCTATTAAGGTATGCCGCCTCTGCACTAACAATTGTCACACGCCGACCACAACTTTTCAGGCCAGACCATCTAAAGACAATTGTGAACCATACCTTTAAATTGTAAGTAAATCTTTTAGACTAAATAGCCAATAATTTTTGTCTGTTGCTTAGCAGTTAAATTTTAAAATTTGTTAGCAAACATCAACCATAGCAATCAATAAAATTAAGAAAACTAAACTCTTAAAATATTTGGGTTAACCTATGTATACAAATTATATTTATATCCTTTACAAATATTTGGTAATTTCAATACACTACGATGTGTAACTCATTAGACAAAGGATCTACTGTTTATTGCCTTCGTACCTGTTAATTGGATCATTACTGTACACACGTTATTCTGCTTACGCGCAAAGTGGCTCGTTGAATGTAAACTAATTACACATATTTTCTACACAAACGATTTTCCAAAGGCTAACACATAATCAAACACACACACATATATGTGCATAGTTGTACAAGTGCAGGGCATTTCATTTGCATATATAGACAGGTGTGCATTGATTTCTACCATGGTTAGCTTTAGCAATAAATAAGTGCTATAAATATCAAGCACTTAATTAAACGCTCACCTTATGCTGCTCTTGTATTCGACGATATTAATTAAAGTTAATAAAATGCATAGCCGAGGTAAAGAGCCAATAAATATGACGATAGAAATTGTGTGCAATATTTCATAAAAATTCACTTTTGGTTGGGTTTATATTAGATTGTTGTAATATGTATTATATATCTCAGACACACAAATTTACTTTGAACCTGCGTTTTGAAAAGTTTTTATATTATATGTCATTAGAATGCTTGAGATTTGATCTACCATATTTTTGTTTCAAAATTTTGATTATTATTATTTTTTTTTATATTATTGGAAGCGGTGAGCCAAGTCAGAAAACCACTTGAAGTCTGAACTCTTTTATAGAGGAGTTAATCTTATAGTTTCTGGATCCTGATACTCTCTATACTCTATCAAAACATTATTATGAGCCTGATGACCAGCGCTGCCAGGTTAACAATGTTCCGTTATATTTATGACAAAATGTCATAATCGATAGATAAGTTTAAGGAAATCGCATTTTGAAGTTTGGGCGAAAATTACATCGTTTATAAATTCTTCTCCAAACTAAAGTTAAGTAAAAAATGATCTATAGTCTAGCTTGGAGAAACACTTTAAATTTGAAACACTCAATCCAAATGTCAAATAACATATACTTTCACGGAGTTTTAGGCTTCGGCACACCTTTGCCACGTTATCAGCCGATTCATCGTCTGTTTCCTGGTCGTAAACTAGATTCAAGGCTCTTCGCCAGTAATAATACGTTTCATGACATCTTGGTAGTCGGAAAGAATTGTTTCAAGGCCGTTAACGCGAAGCTGTTTTTCGAAAAAACTTGGTGATTTTACAACTAATCGAGTCTAACTGTCTATTTTCAAGCACCAATTCTTTTATTTGATTGACGATTGATCATCTGTTGATGTTGATGACCGACGTGAATGTGGTTCGTCATCAATTCATTCTGGACCTTCTTTGATCAATCTGTGCCAATCAAAGACACTTTCTCGCGACAATCAATTACCACCGGAGTCCCTTTCCAATATTCTGAACGTTTCGGCACCAGAAATTTGATTTCGTGCACATACTTTAATGGAACTTCTTTGTTGAATGTTCCTCGATCAGATGCCCTGAAATCAGATACCAAGATAGCAAATTTCACGAAAAAAAACCACATATGTGTCGAATAAGGCGAAGATTGTCCCATAATAAGTTAGAATTTTTTCTTTTATAGTCTAAGAACTTTTCGGACCACTTACATATACATATATAAATATTCGAGTTTTTGAATATATTAGAAAAGTAAGTTAAGCAACATTTTTCCAGCGAGTCCTTTTCCTTTTGACTAATATAAAAGTTCAATGAAAATTGTAATGATTAATGGCATTTTGGTCAGAACTAGTATTTTCACATTTTACATCGTACCTACCGAAAGTTTTTCTGCCCACATATATTTGAAATGAAATCATCACATATTTTTGTTTTTTGCCACATAACAGAGAAAGAAAGAAAAGAGAAGAAAATCCAAACTTTGTAAAAGCTAAAGTTTCACTAACCAAACTTTTTTCGAAACCAATAACTCACTTAGCTTACCAGCTTCTGAACAGCTTATGATATTTTGGATAAAAAGCGCTTAATTTAGAGCAAATAAACAGACCAAAGTAGAATTTCAAGATTCCATGAAAAATGATTATGCTTTTTTATTGATTCGTAACTATTTTTCGACTTGAGTTTTTGCGCTTTACTACATTTATTTGGTTAAAGAGCTAAAATCGAGTTCAGACTGCATGATATATACGCAGCAATTTTGAATATATTTTCATTGATTTTTAAAATAAGTAAATAGGGATCTTAAATATAATTTATTGTACCACAATTTTTCTTCTTCTTTTTAAGGTCTATCTAACTAGCGAGTTGTAATTTTTTTCGTTCTGACTATCTGTCTCCTTGGTTGTGTGTGTCTTTTCCTAATTGGGTCGGTAGTCGCCTATGTGAGTTTGGCAGGGGACACGACAGCGCAGCAATCGTTTCTAAAGTTCATAATTTGACTTCAACTTGGATTACCAATTGATACCCATTCTACCGATAGCGGTTCTAGCGTGCCTTTCCTTACTCGCTCATCAGGAAGTCTGAAGCTGGAGCTAATAGAGAGTTCCTGTCAGTAAACCCCTCCACCAACCTTTCCCCGAAGCCTCAACCCATCCGTAAAGAAGCACACTGCACCACTCCTCCAACAACTTCTTCCCACCCACTAATCTCTCCCCGTATATGAGCATAGAGGAGCCGCCATGGTTCGGGTTGGCAAGTTTTTTAATCAGGTCGTTAACAATCAGGATTCATAGAAGAGAAGAGAGAACTCCACCTTGTCAGGTTCCCTTACTCACATTTCGTCGTGCACGGGCGTAGCCTCATTCCGTTTCAATGGAAGACTGAAAATGAGGTTTACCATATAAAGCATTTATGAAATCCCTAAATATGGAGGAAGGTCCCCAACAACGAAACGCAGTATCCACTGACTTTCCTTTACCATAAGCATGTTGCGCTCCTGATAAATGGTTTCTCCGGATGCGCCTCCTTATGAACCGACTTCGCTTTACCCAGTTTTGTTAGCCAGGTCGGAATTATGAATGACTTATAAAATTTGGTTCTTGTTTGCCGAGAGAGGACTTTTCTTCTCAATTGCCTACTCATTCCGAAGTAGCACCTATTGGCAAGAGTTATCCTGCGTTGGATCTATGACTTCAAAGTTGCGACTGTCAACAGTGACGTGAGWGCCAAGTCGCGAGTGCGTTGACTGTTTTTTTGATGACAGGAGATATTTCATCTATCAATATCATCGGCATACGCCAGCAGTTGTACACTCTTATAAAAGATTGTACCTGCTCGATTAAGTTCTGCACCTCGAATTATTTTCTCCAGCAGCAGGTTGAAGAAGTCGCATGAAAGGGAGTTGCCTTGTCTGAAACCTCGTTTGGTATCGAACGGCTCGAAGATTTCGCACGTGGTGAATATCTGGGCTTTAATCTTTCACACAATTCGCTCGATAGAACCTTATACGCGATGTTTAGGAGACTTCTCCCACGGTAGTTGGCGCAGATTGTGGGGTCTTCCTTTTTTGTGGATTGGTCAGAGCACACTCAAATTCCAATTCAAATGCTTTCGTTCTTATCAGTTCTTCACCTCCGTGTTCGAATAGCTCGGCCGGTAATCCATCGGCCCCCACCGCTTTGTTGTTCTTCAGGCGGGTAATTGCTATTCGAATTTCTTCATGGTCGGGCAATGGCACGTAAGGTCCATCGTCATCGATTAGGGAATCGGGTTCGCCTTCTCCTGGTGTTGTACGTTCACTGGCAGCATCGGTGACTAAATCACCTTTGGGGTTTTCAGTTTGCAAATGAGTCTCGCTTCCCTCTTCAACTATCGGTATCTATCCCATCCCTCACGTGTTGTGGTCGACCATTGCGAGGTAGGCAGTATGTTTTCTCTCCGTTGCGACACGGTACTCCTCGTCGTACCTGCTGTTCTTTTGCATTTTCCGAAAACCAATGGTTTCGGTTGCAGCTGTACGTAGGGAGTTTGAAATGCCGTCCCACAGTTCCCTTATACCTAGTTATTGACAAGTGCTCTCAGAGAGCAGTAGTGGCAGCCGAGTAGAAAATCGTTCCAGATAGCCGATGTGATGGCAGCTTCTCAACATCGAACCTTCCTTGTGTTTGTTGACATACGCTTTGCTGCACAGAGGTGGGTGCGAATCTTGGCTGCAACAAGATAGTGGGCTCGGAGCGTACTCATGTCTAGAATACTGAAGACGTGTTTTCCGTCTTTCACAACATGATCGATCTGGTTGGTGGCTTTTCGATATACTGGAATCTAGTACTACAGATAACCATATTTCGGGCCCCGGCGAAGTCGATCAGCCTCATCCCACTGATGTTTCGTCGTGGAGGCTGAATTTACCGACCGTGGTACCAACCTTTTTTGCCCACCCTGGCGTTAAAGTCGCCAAGCACGATTTTGACATCGTGACGGGCCAGCTCTCATAAGTCTGCTCCAATTGCTCATAGAAGGCATCTATGGTCACATCGTCCTTCTCTTCCATCAGGGTATGGGCGCAAATCAGCGATATGTTGAAGAACCTCGCTTTGATGCGGATTGTGGCTAGACGTTCAATCACCGGAGTGAATGATAGTACTCGGCGACGTTGTCTCTCTGTCACCACGAATCTCACACCAAAATTTCACTCCTTGATATGACCACTGTAGGAAATGCCACAAGGATTTACTCGTCTCAGTCCTTGTCCCGGCCATCGCATTTCTTCACTCTAACGAGGACATCAACCAGCTGGGCAGCAGCACCTTCCCAACTAAGGCACCGGATATTCCAGGTGCATGCCCTCAAATCATAGTCCTCAATTCGTTTACCATGGTCGTCATCAAAAGGGGGGTGACTCATCCGAGGCTTGGGGCCATATATAAAAAATAGTTTCTGGCCACTCCCTAGTGAATGGCTTTCAGAGAACTTTCCTCACTTGCGTGAACTCCCACACATGACTCCATCCTCCATCTAATTCACATAAATAGCTCGGTTAAAAAATTGTTCGTATACTATGTTCATTAATAGGATGACGACTAGAGAGGTATTCATGAACAACACAAAGAGTTGATTTAGTTTCAACAAGAAAGTGTAGGTTACTTGAAACTTAATCCTCACAAAAACTTACCGGAACTATGCGGACAGATAGGAGTCGATAAGAAAACAACCTAATACCAATAATATACCTAACAACATTTGCATTAAGTGTAATTTCTGCCTTTCACATGTTATTACAGGTAACCGAAATGATATCTTCCTTGCTGGTCATGCATCTCGCGAACACTACTAACACGGTCACATCGAAGAAAGTATTCTGCATTGTTGGCATCGCCATACTCCACATCACAGCCAGCAGTTTCGACCAGTTCTTCATGAATGTGGTGCGTGGCGAAGGTTATGCACATCAAATAGTACGAGATATCGGCTTTATGGTGCCAGATATACTGCAATTAATCATACCATTGTGGCTGTTCCGCAAGACGCGCAAGGAATCGTACACAACGCGTCCCTTTTACCGAGACCGCAATCTACACAAAGACATTGTGGCGATGTTATTCTTCGTGCTGGCGCTCTTTGTTGTCTGTACGATTTTGTGAGATAGAATTTTCCAATACCTGCAGATGATGAATAGTGAGGAGGAAGCGCGCGCAACGAGACGCATGAATCTGATGGCTCGACTATACTTCAATGTGTAAGGTAAATAATGTATATACTATACATATATACGTCTGTCTGAGTTACAGCAACAACAACCAAGTGTTGAATTGAGCTGCACGCGTTTGTTGGTGGATGCCGCTGAAGAGTTCTGAGCTTGCGGTGACACACTTTTTGCTGAAACTACTAAACGTTGGCGTGTAAGTCTAGATGTAGTTAGTTTTAGCAACAAAATATATGAAATACGTACTTATTTACTTATATATAGTATATATATATAGATACATAGATACATATACTTACATATATTAGAGTAAACCAAAGAACAAATTTTCCCCTCTCTAACCTTGTGATAACTGTGTTTCTTTGATATCCTTAGATTTTAACAAATTTAATCATATTTGTTTCAATTTCTTACCTGTAGTGATTATTATTTAGGTTCCTTAGGAAAGATGTTTTATAATCTAAACAATATTTAATATTAGAAGAGAGAGGGTGTTTAGCTGTCATTCACATACATACATATGTATATGCATTTGGTCAAATATTTTTAAACACTGAGTTGCATTCCTTGAAAATAGAACATATTATTACATGCATCGGCAGTCACACACTCTGTCTTTTCCTACCTTTATATGACTCAACTCTACACCCTTATCCAGTCTGCAGAAACCAGAATTAAGGACGTGGTTGTTGAGGTCGTTAATATTGTATCGGCGTATGCCAGCAGCTATACACTCTTATAGAAGATTGTACCTTCTCTACTTAGCTCTGCAGCTCCACTTATTTTCTCCAACAGTAGATTGAAGAAGTCGCACGAAAGGGAGTCGTTTTGTCTGAAACCTCGTTTGGTATTATTTTGGTATTGGTTACTTAACGTCAGTTTACACAGCCGTATTGGTTTTACGGGGATACCAAATTCAGACATAGCGGCAAAGAAGCAGCTCCTTTTCGTGCTATCAAAAGCAGCTTTGAAATGGACGAAGAGGTGATTTACGTCGATCCTCTTTTCACGGGTCTTTTCCAACATTTGACGCATGGTGAATATCTGGTCAGTTCTTGATTTTCCAGGTCCAATGTGGTCAGTTTGTTGACAGTGGGCTTTAATCTTTTACACAATACGCTCGATAGAGGAGGCGATTGAGCATTCTTATCTCACGGTAGACGCCGCAGATTGTGAAATCTCATTTTTTGTGGATTCGGCCAGCACACTTAAATTCCAATCATCGGGCATGCTTTCGTTCGACCATATTCTACAAAGAAGCTGATGCATGCTGCGCCGCCGTATTTGAATAGCTTGACCGGAATTTCATCGGACCCCGCCGCTTTGTTGTTCTTCAGCTGGGTAATTGCTATTTGAACTTCTTCATGGTCGGGCAATGGAACGTCCGCTGCATCATCACCGTCAGTTTTGTGATCGCTTGATTCCGTATTTTCTCTACATTCTACGCTGATGCTAATGCGCTCTAGATGGCTAATTGTTGAAAATACCGATTAAATAATGGAAAAGCGCCGAGGTGGTGATCATTAAGAGAGTACTTGTGCTCTATGTCAACGCTATGCTACACAGATTGATAATTACTCGTCTAAAGTTTCATGAGCATTCTTTTGAGATCTGAGGACAGAAAATAAGTTCCAGAAGACCAAATCTGGAGAATACGGTGAATGCGGAAAAAATTCGAAGCCTAATTCATGTATTTTTATACTCTCGCAACAAAGTTGCTAAAGAGAGTATTATAGTTTTGTTCACATAACGGTTGTTTATAAGTCCTAAAACTAAAAGAGTCAGATATAGGGTTATATATACCAAAGTGATCAGGGTGACGAGTAGAGTTGAAATCCGGATGTCTGTCCGTCCNCTAAAACTAAAAGAGTCAGATATAGGGTTATATATACCAAAGTGATCAGGGTGACGAGTAGAGTTGAAATCCGGATGTCTGTCCGTCCGTCCGTGCAAGCTGTAACTTGAGTAAAAATTGAGATATCGTGATGAAACTTGGTACACGTTAAGTTCGAAGATAGGCAAAATCGGCCCACTGCCACGCCCACAAAATGACGGAAACCGAAAACCTATAAAGTGTCATAACTAAGCCATAAAAAAAGATGTTAAAATGGAATTTGGCACAAAGGATCGCATTAGGGAGGGGCATATTTGGACGTAATTTTTTGGAAAAGTGGGCGTGGCCCCGCCCGCTACTAATTTTTTGGTACATATCTCAGAAACTACTATAGCTATGTCAACTAAACTGTATAGAGTCGTTTCTTTTAGGCATTTCCATATACAGTTCAAAAATGGAAGAAATCGGATAGTAACCACGCCCGCCTTCCATACAAAGGTTATGTTGAAAATCACTAAAAGTGCGTTAACCGACTAACAAAAAACGTCAGAAACACTAAATTTTATGGAAGAAATGTGAGAAAGAAGTTGCATCCAGGCTTTTTTTAAAAATTTAAAATGGGCTTGGCGTCGCCCACTTATGCACCAAAAACCATATCTCTGGAAGTACTCGACCGATTTCAATGAAATTCGGTACGTAATATTTTCTTAACACCCTGATGACATGTACCAAATATGGGTGAAATCGGTTCACAACCACGCCTGCAATCTCGATTATCAGTTTATCATGCGAGAGTATAAAATGTTCGGTGGCACCCGAACTTAGCCCTTCGTTACCTGTTCCTACTCTTTTCACTGGCTAGTCACACGGTACATTTCCTTAGTGAAACAGCACTTCCTTTTATCCGCAAAAGATGACGTTTTTCTGCGATTTTGTCCTTCAAACGGTCCATTAACGCTATGTAATAGTCGCTGTTGATTATTCTTCTTTTTTCAAGGTATGTAGTTAATAAAAGTTATCCCATGCGCATGTTGCTTTCCTTGTCACATATCGACGCAAAAATTTGGTTTTATTATGATATAACGTCTACAGTCACTGCTCCGAATCATCAACTCGTCGTTCTTTTTGGAGGAAAGAGAGCTCGCCCGGCACCCATTTTGCACAGAGCTTTCTCATACCCAAGTATTCGTGTATGATATGATGTACAAGTTGATAACTTTAGTGTGCCTGCCATATCGAACAACTTCACTTGACGATCTTCCAAAATTCGATTTGGACACTTTGAATGTTTCGTCGATAACAACCTCTTTTGAGTATCCACTGCGTTCTCCGTCTTCAAAAGGTGATATTTTATCAACACACCAAATTACTTTTTATCCAAATATTTCACGATAAGAAAATTTGCTTCACTCAAAATGATATATGTACATAATTCATAAACAAATGATCCGACAGCTGTCATATTTATACACACGCCTTTTAAAGGTCGGGACTAACAAAAAATTATATTGATTATACTCTAGTAGAGGCATCATCAAACCGGAACTTTTCATTAGTCAAAAAATATGCGCCTATTGGAGATTCCAAGTGCGGCCAGATCCTTCTACATCTGGTCTTTCCAGCGTGGTGAAGGTCTCCCTCGTCAAGAGTTATCCCGCGTTGGATTTCGACGCTGACGTTGTTGTTGGTGTTAATTCGGGTTCCAAGATAGAGGAAATTATCTACGACTTCGAAATTATGACTGTCAACAATTTCTGAACAACGCATTGTATTGATCTATGTGCTTCTAGCAATGGAAAGCAACGTGGAGTTTAGTCTTCATAGACAGGTATTCACGTCAAAACACATTGGCACATTGTCAACAATGACGAGGGAACCAAGACGCGATGCAAACAACCGTTTGTTTGATGACAGCAGATATTTCGTATTGTCCTCGTTTACAACCAAACCCAATCGACTCGCTTCCTTATCCAATGATATCAATATCATCTGCGTGCACCCGCAATTGTACACTTGAATTTTACCTTCTTAAATTAGCTCTGCAGCTCGTATTATTTTCTCTAGCAATATATTAAAGAAATCACACAATAGGGAATCTCCTTGTCTGAAATCTCCTTTGTTATCAAACGGCTCGGAAAGTCCTTCCAGATCCTGACGGAGTTTTTGGTGTTGCTCCACGTCAGCTTACACAGCCGTATTGGTTTTGCAGGAATATCAGTTTGCAGGGATCTAAAGTAACTTTGAAATCGACGAAGAGTTGATGTATGAATATCTGGTATTTGTAGATTTTCCAGATCTGAAGCCACGCTGATAAGATCCAATCTGTTTGTTGACGTTGGCCTTTAATCTTACACACGCTCGATAAAACCTTACATGCTTATACGGAGGCAGTTGGATCAGATTGTGGGATCCCTATTTTTGTTGTTTCGGCAGAGCACACTTAGGTTCTAATCGTCGGACATGCTTCAGCCACGTAAAAACACTTCCAATGAATATAATAACAAATATTCTGTGTGCCTATATCACAATTCAGCTACTCAGTTTTTAAATATATTTGACAGAATGATTATAGATGTATATGGCATTAATTGATTATAATTAACGAAATCTACAATATTAGACTTATATGCTATATTGAGAATACATAGTTTCAAAAATTTTATAAATTTAGAGAACAAATATTATATTAAAATGGAGTCATATCATAGCACAACTTTGTACACCGTAGATAACACTCAAAAGACTCATAACACAAGTAGAAACGTAAACTACGTCACTATAAATAAGTAGGTTCATATGTAGTTAATATTAGAAAACAATAGCGATACATATATACAGTTATAGAAATACATTTATAATATGCTTATGTTGAAAATCACTTCCTAAATATTTTTTTTTATTTTGGTATGCCAAAATTTGAAGCCCACAAGTCTTATCGGACAGCATTTTTAATTTACAGCTACACTCGACACTCGTCAGGGATCCTGTAATCGTTTTAATTATTGTTCTTCCAAACAGACCATCAGTTGTGATTCAAAGAGATTCAAACAATTTGTTGCCTACGTATACCAGAGAAAATATTAAAATATTATTAAGTAATTTCTAAAACTCTCACAGAGCACTTTTGTTTCTTAATGTTATCTCTTGTAAAATCAAAAGTTTTTCCATTTTCTACTCAAAATAAAGAAAGCAACGGGTTTTCTTCCATAAATTTTCAGTTTGCATCATCGAAAAAATATTTAGTCCAATCTTCAAATACTACGATTATCAATATTACTCTCAATATCGTTTATAGATGGCGAGGTTGGCTACATATTCATTTTTAATTTTACAAAAACGAGAAATCGTTATTTTAAAGCGTTTTATGATGTTGTCGAAATAAAATACATGGGAGATATTCCAGCCTTTAAGCACATTCGTGCTTCTTCTTTCGCAGCCATACTTTCTACAGATCAGCATTGTATTAAGTTTTGTAACGCTACTCAGTCTTCCTTAGAGAGTATGAAAGTTTAGGAAGAAAACTGGCCTTATAGAAGCGTGATGCTAAAAGCTAGCGCAATGAAACAACATCAGATTTCAAACTAATCTCATCAACAAATGACTTAACTTTAATAGAAAATATCGATATTCTTCTGGTAAAATATTTTCTACAATACCTGACTGATAGAAAGATAGAAAATAATTCAGGTTTTGCACTGCGAGCTATGGTCTATAGTGCCCAGTCCTATACCACATATGTTCACATAAGTCCAGCACCCTGAATAGTTCCGGGAGCTTGCTGGATTGAGGTGATGTGATCCCTGTTCACGTAGATGGATACACGGGCTCTGTACCTGCTGCTACAAATTGCTGGGCAATATAGAATCAGGTGTTTTGGAGTTTCCAATTTCATGTCGCAA